CCAAGCTCTCCCTATGTCTGTCCCTTTATGACCGGCTGAAGTTCTTTTAAATTGTGCTTGGTTCTGTTACAGCAACTGAAGGAGTCAGGTTAAAGCTAAACAGTTAACAGGTTTATTGAGGAAGCTTATAAATCATATGGTTGCAATAGCTATTGTTCTATTTCTTAACTGCTAGCAAAATATAGATCTTAAAAATGGTTACAAAGAAGATAAAGATAGGAAAAACAGAAATAATAGTACCAAGTAACAGCTTAACCTTTAAAGAGCTCTAAGTCTGTGTACACTTAAGACAGAGGACCACATCCAGGTACAATTTTTACCCCCTTCTGTGCCTCTCGACTCCAGCGTGTCAGGCCAGGGCCAGTCCCTCAATTCCTAGGAAAGACAAAAATACGAGGTGGGCGTCCCCATAGAACCTCGGGAGGTCAAACACCTAACCCGACCAGCAGGTAGAGGGTAGAATGACACCCAAAAGTGAGTGCGCTGCTGTACCCACCTTTATACCCATGGGGTCACGTATTTCTCTCTTATCTGTGATGCCATATGGTGCTGGTCTGTCTTTTGTGAGACCAGTTCTTACAAGGGAGTTGTGAACTTAATTTACACTTGTAAGAGAGATAACTAAATTGGAAGTACTGGGCATTCTTTTCTCAGTGGGAAATTCCTCTTCCAGGTACTGTGTGTGTGTTCGAATCAACATGGGTGCCAGCCGGGCATACTCGCATATCCTGATCTCGCATCAAAGCAGATCAAAGCTTAATGGCTATGCTGATTTTTTTATTGTTCCTTCTCTGTCCTATATGCTTCAGGAACCTCAGAGAGGCAAAACAAGATGGATGAGATGGGGAGGGGGGGCTGTCTGGCTACAATGAACCAGAGACCTGAGGGAAAGGGAAGGTCCCTGGTTTGAAGGCTTAGCTGGAAAAGGAACACTTTTAGAGTGAGTTTGTAATGAATTTGTAACAACTTTTTTTCGTGTAGAATTAGCTAAGTGTTCTGTTACTTTAAGCTTGTAATCTACTTTGCTCTGCCTGTTCTCACATATTACCACTTAAATCCTACTGCCTGTACTTAATAAAATAACTTTTATTTACTATCAAGCCCAGTTTAAATAATTGTTACCGTGGGGAGGGGGGCACATTCAATGTGCACATCCTCCTTTCATTGCTAAAGGGGGCTTACCCAAATAATTCCTGTTCCATGAGGAGTACAGATAGTTCGAACTACGTAGCCATTCCGAACTATCTAGCCCGTGCCGCGTGTAGCCGCGCGGCACGGGGTTCGCACTAGCCGGCTTTTAAAAATGGCGGCGCCGGCTTTATGCTAATGAAGCCCGGGATTTGAATTTCCCGGGCTTCATTAGCAAGGTCGGTATGCATACATTACCCCGCTAGTTCGAACTCGCGGGGTAGTGTAGACATACCCTTAGAGAATGGAAATATACGTCCTTGTCCTCCAAAGCTATTGACAGGCCTAAGGCAACAGTACATGGGCTGTTAATTTGTAATGGAATAGGATAGCAAAAATGAAATGAAATTTGGTGTTTCATATACAGACACATTATATCACAGAAAAGGAAGATGATAATCCCTCATCTACAAGTCTGGTGATATTACAAATGGAATAGCCACATTACTTCTGGGCAACGCAATTCCAGAAAGATATGAACAGAGAAATTGAAGAGGAGCAACACATTTGCAGGACTGATTTTTATTACAACAGTTTAAAAGAATGAAATATTCGTAATAGGGCTTGGCCAAATGAGATAGAGGCAGCAAAGGGAGGGGAAGGGGTACTTCAAAGTGGCGCTGCCACTTTGAAACCCCAAAGCAGCCGCTGCACAGCTGATATGCAGATCAGCTGTGAGTAGGCTGCCCCTTTAAAACGCCTCCTCTGCACAATTCAAAAGGGCAGCCGTGGCATTTTGATCCCGGTCTCCCCGTGGCATTTCCCCAGAACCCAGCATCAGCTGAGGACTCCCCAGCTGACCCCGTGCTCCATGGCAGCTTCCCCTTTGAAATGTGCGGAGGTGGCATTTTAGAGGGGAAGCTGCTGCGGAACCCGGAGTCAGTTGGGGACTCTCAGCTGACCCGGGCTCACCGCAGCATTTCCCCACAACCCGGGATCAGCTGCGGACTCCCCAGCTGACTCGGATTCCAGGGAAGTGCCGCGTGGAACCCGGAGTCAGCAGGGGACTGAGAGTGGCTGTGAGTAGGGGACTGTGAGCAAGGGATTCCACAGTTCTGAAATGCGCAAGAGCCCCCGCTGGCCCCAGTCTGTACACAGAGTTCCACATTCCTCCATTTCAAAGGAGGAATGTGGAATTGCCTATCGACTAGTCGATGGAAATTCCATCGATTAGTCAATTAACCGCATTTTAAAATCCTTAATTTGACATGAAAAAGCTACTTGACGCCATTTTCTGAAATGAAAATATTTCTGAAATAGATTAGAGAATAGAAGAATGGTGTAAGGATTTGATGAAAATCTACAACAAAATATGCAATGAAGATGAATGATTGGTGTAAAAATCTTATAAAAAAGCCAAATCTTATAAAAAAGCCAAGAATAGATTTTATTTTTGGATTAGTGTTAATTTGGTAGCTCGTGGAAATGAAAACACTGCATGGGAATAACGAAGGTATATTAATTGGAAAGCACTTTCTTCAGTTATCAATGTAGAGTTTTTTAACACAGACAGTAAAAGTATAACAGCCTCAAGTATGCTAACAACACTGCTTTCATACCGCAAATCTTTCTAAAAAGGAGTATTTTTTATATCTAACTTTCTACGTGATTTCAATTTTTACTGCAATATACGTAGATAATAATACTGTGTTACATGAAGTATTGATTGCACAATTTATAAAAAGTGGACACCGAAGGAGAAAAATTAATGGTAGTGTAAATTATAAAAAATATTTTAACAATTGAAGTAAATGGAAGTTAAAGTTAAATTAGCAAGGAACAACAGTACAACAAATAAGATAAATTGAATGATAGCTCTTGTATTATAACTACAGGATAATTAAGACAAATCATAGATAATCCTCATTACAATTCTGAGTTAATAATTTTATTTATAGTACATGCCAAAGGTAGGCAATAAAAAGATAAATACAGAGGAGGACGTGAGTGAGTCAACTGGTTCACAGTATAAAGAAGAAAACCAGCACCAAAAGGTAAAGTACTGAACTATGTGCAGAGAAGAAACTGATTTTTTTAAATAATATCTTTCTTAAAGTAGTTTCTTCTTGAATTTTTAGCTATCTACCAGTAATTTAACATAGACAAAAACAAAAATCACACATAAGCCTCAAACCTGGAAAATTAATTTCTTTAGATTCCAATTGATGCACTTTGACTTCTACATGATTTTGGATCCAGTTATAGGATAGCTTCTTCCCAGAACACAATGCTGAAGTTGAGATTAATAGAAGTGCTTGAGCTGTAGCTCCTTCAATATAAATGAGATGGAGCTTGGTCACACTGCAAAGTACCTTTTGAATTCGTAAGTTCACAGAACCCTAAGGGGCCTCTCTCTCATGGCAAAGACGCACCAGTGAAAGGGACCTAAAAATATTACTTGGCAAAACCTACTGGGATCCCAAGGGAGAGTAAATCTAACCATAAGATTTTGCACCTCTATCACTTTTATCACATGGACCCTTGCTATGGGCTGGAGAACGCCAGCAGCCCTATTCCCTATTTGATACACAAGTGCCCACATTTGTTCATCTTTCATTCTGGAAAAAGCAATTTCTCCCCATATTTTCTCCATAGCTTTTAAGATTAAAGTAGAGAGCCCTCTATTTATTGGGAGTGGGGTGTTAACTCACAGGATGGTCACAACGTTATATTTTAGAAACTCGAAGAAATTAAAATATAATTATGTGTATTTGAGTAATACAGTCATGACTAATGCCCCTACCTCCACAAATGACTTAGCAAGCACAACCAACTATGACAAGCAAGAAAAAAAATCTGCTTTGACTTTATATGCTACTTTGAAGAAATAGGATGCAAATGATATGATAGGTTACTCAGTCAGTCAAGCGCATTATGCTGTATCACACAAAGAATTTACATTTTCTTAAGAAATCAAATAATCATTATTTCATTATCTGAGAATCATGTATTACTTTATTACATACATGCACTGCTGCATTGATAGATTCATATATGCAACTGTTTAAAACAGACATCACTTCGGTTTAAGAATGTTTATTTGTAGCTGAAGATTGTCACTGTGTAGATGCCTGACTTGGTTAAAAGTAAAATATATTTTAATGATTTTTCAGGAGAGGAGTGTTAACATCCACAATAAGCAATTAAAATAGACCTTTAAAAACAGTTGGTTCATATCTTCTTTTAAACCAGGCAGTCTCAATCTCAACTTTTACTTACCTACTTTGACACTTTCATTTAATCTAATGAGCATAATAATAATACTTCTCTCATTCATAGAACTTTACTCCCCCCAAAAGAGACATTCTTAACAAGGTTAACAGTAATAAAAGGGATATTATATAAGAAGATGGAAAAGAACTTACCTCATCAGCTATCATACACCTAAATGCAAAAAAGGGAAATGTAAAGTAAATAACAGAAAAAACACTTCAATTGCATTTATCTACAAATCTCATTTAAGAATTAAAAAGCAGATTAACTGTTTAAGAACAAAAACTAGCTTTTACTGTTATTGAAACCCCTCAGAGAGGGACTTATTAATATTGTAATAAACACTATGAGAATGATAGCTCTTCTAAAAACATTTATCAGATATATTTATGCTAAAGTTTAGTACAACATATTAAATTAGGTACAGTCTTGGCATTACATTAATGTGATATCCATCTATGTGTTCAATAGAAGCCCTGTATCTTCTATTTTAGTGTCTTTCACAGAGGATGAAGTGATGTTCTTCACTTCTTTCAGCTACATATTATTTATCTAGCTGTCAAAAAAATAAAAGGTATCTATGAATAGACGTAAATTACTTGTTCTGAAATTTCATCTAGACACTTTTAGAGTAGAAACAGAAGATGACTTCCACTTCCATATTCTGCAAACAAATCTTATCTTTATATATGTTACTAGAAGGCTTATCCAGTGTTGTTCGGGTCCTTCAAAGCAGAGGCCTCATGGTGTACGGGGTGCAGGAGTCAGGGCAAGGTGTTGGGAGGTATGAGAGCTCAGGGCAGAGGGGTAGGCATACAGGAGTCAGCGCAGGGGTGTGGAGAAATCAGGGCAAGGGGCTGTGAGGGCTAACTGGGACTGCCCATGGTGTTGAGAACTGGCCTCTGCCCTGGTACCTCTTGGTGGGGGAGCAAGGGCTGCCATCAGGGGGAGTAGCATGGAGGATTAGAGATGTCAGGGCTTCTTGAGGGAGGGGCGGGGCAGCAAGGTCTGGCCACGGTCCCTGGCACAGCTCTGGGAAGTGGGGAGGGGTGTGGCACAGCCTGGCTCCAGCACCTAGAGGTGCTTCTCCAGTGCATCAGGCCTGCTGGCTAGTAGGGCTCTTTCCCCCACTCCTCCACTCCCCGGTCCAATGCTGTGGCCAAGGGCTGGGGGGGGATGAGGAAGGGGGAAAGAGAGTGGTTTGGGGTAGGGCGGCCATTTACCTGGGCCAGTGGCCAGCAATATGGAGAGCCCTGGACCCAACTGGCCACTTTGTAATGCAGAGTGACCACAGGAGGGTGGCCGCACAAGAACTATCCATCCAAACAGCCCTCCTCCATTTCTGTGTCATGGAAAACAATCGATTCCAGGCACATTCCACTTTCCTAGCACAATCAAACCCTGTCCTTCTTTAATTTAGGATAAGAGGACGCTGCATACTAAACTTGGTGCTCCTAACTCTTCCTGTTTAGGAGGAGCTCTTGAACACACACACACACTCACAGACAGGAGGACGGACTCGGTACATACACAAACACAAATTCTCTAAGAATACAGATATAGATAATGTACATCAACTAGAATTTTTCCATTTCAGAATTCATCTATTTAGTGTTACTCTCAGTAATACCAGAACTAGCTTCAAAATCACAGCGAGAAATAGTATAGCCTACAATATTTGTCAGAGGCAGCAGCAGGTACGGGGGGAGGGGAGGGCAGGAGAGGCCTCCTTGGAGCAGCCTGTTTGCGGCGGGCCTAGGTGTCAGGACAGGGGTTGGGCTGTGGGAGGGTTCAGTGCAGGAGATAGGGGTGCAGGAGTCAGGCCAGTGGGGTGGAGAAATAAAGGCAAGGGGCTGGGAGGGATCGCTGGGGCTTCCCACAGCAGTGAGGACCGGCCTCTGCCCCAGCTTCTCTTGGCACAGGCTCACCGCACAGGTAACAGGGGTTGCTGCTGCCCCGCACTGCTGGCTATGTATCAGAGGCAGCAGCATGGGGTGGCAGGAAAGAGCCTGACTGTATGGGGAGCTAGTTTTTAAACCTCTGATAGAGGCAGCAGTGCAGGGTAGTAGGGGGCTCTCCGGAAGAAGTTCTGGGAGCACATTAGCTTATGGCCCTGCCCCCAAGGACTACTGAATAGTCCCGTAACCGATAATATTTTGTGCAGTTACACAAGTATTCAATTAATCGCTATCTAACATCTCTACTATGAAACACCAGAGTTATGAATTGACTGGTCGACCACAAACTGTATTTTTCCGGTTCCAGACGCAATCAGGCAGCAGCAGAGATAAAAATTAAACAAGACAAACAGACCAGCTGTATTAAATCAATGTGCAGGTATAATTTTTTTGAAATAACCACCATAACGTATTGCTCAGAGTTATGAACTACCTTCATTTGTGACTATGTTTGTAACTGAGGTTATACTGTAGTCAGAGAAGTAATGATTTAGTCAGAAGCTCAAATTGAAGTTTTGATAGGACACTACAGATGAGATTCCAAAAGAGAAGTAAAATAGAATCAGAGAATGAGAGAACACTAGAACTGGAAGGAACCTCAAGAGGTCGAGTCCAATCCGCACTAGGCAATTTATTCCATTGTTTAACCACCCTGACAGTTAGGAACTTTTCCCTCGTGTCAACCTAAACCTCTCTTGCTGCAGTTTAAGTCCATTGCTTCTTGTCCTGTCCTCAGAGGCCAAAGAGAACAATTTTCTCCCTCCTCCTCGTGATACCCTTTTCAATACTTGAAAACAACTATCATGTTCCCTCTTAGTCTTCTCCTTTCAGATCTAAACAAGTTCAATTCTTTCAGTTTTCCCTCATAGGTCATGTTCTCTACACCAGTGTTTCTTAAACTTTTTAAGACCGAGGTCCACCAAAGGATCTTTTTGTTGAGCAAAAAGAAAAAAAATGCATCCTGTTAATGCATCCCAGAATCATGTTTGGTTTTTCTGCAACAGAATCACACTGTTGACTCATATTTAGCTTATGGTCCACTATGACCCTTAGATACCTTTCTGCAGTACTCCTCCCTAGACAGTCGCTTCCCATTCTGTATGTGTGAAACTGATTGTTTCTTCCTAAGTGGAGTACTTTGCATTTGTCCTTATTAAACTTTATCCTGTTTACCTCAGATCATTTCTCTAGTTTGTCTAGATCATTTTGAATTAAGACTTTATCCTCCAAAGCAGCTGCAAACCCTCCCAGCTTGGTATCATCTGCAAACTTAATAAGCATACTGTCTATGCCAATATCTAAATTGTTGATGAACATACTGAACAAAACCGGTCCCAAAACAAACCCCTACAGAATCCCACTTCTTATGCCCTTTCATCAAGATTGTGACTCACTCTCTCTCTCTCTGAGTAGTTATGAACCCTTCTTACAGTAGCTCCATGTAAGTTGTATTTGCCTAGTTTATTCATAAGACGATCATGCAAAACCATACCAAATGCCTTACTAAAGTCTAGGTATACCACATCCACACTTCTCCCTTTTCCCCAAGACTTGTTATCCTATCAAAGAAAGCTAACAAATTGGTTTGACATGATTTGTTTTTTACAAATCCATGCTGACTTATCACCTTATCATCTTCCAGTTGTCTGCAGATCAATTCCTTAATTACTTGCTCCATTGTTTTACCTAGCACAAAAGTTAAACTGACTGGTCTGTAGTTTCTTGGTTTGTTCTGATGGGCACTATATTTGCTCTTTTCCCAGTTTTCTTGAAACTCTCCCGTCTTCCATTATTTTTCAAAGATGATAGCTAACGGTTCAGATACTTCCTCCTCGAGTATTCTAGGATGCATTTCATTTGACACTGGTGTCTTGCAGACATCTAACTTTTCTAAATGATTTTTAACTAGTTCTTTTTTTATTTTATCTTCTAAACCTACTTCCTTCCCACTAGCATTCACTATGTTCGACATTCCTTTGTTTATCAGACTTCTTGGTGAAGATCGAAACAAAGAAGTCATAAGCACCTCTGCCATTTCTTTTATTGTTTTCTTTTATTGTTTCTCCCTCCCCACTGAGCAATAGGCCTACCTTGTCCCTACTCTTGCTTCTAATATACTTATACAGAATCTTCTACCCTTTATGTCTGTAGCTATTTTGAGCTCGTTTTGTGCCTTTGCCTTTCTAATCTTCCCCCCGCATGCCTGTATTGTTTCTTCTTATTCACCCTTTGTAATTTGTTCTAGTTTCCACTTTTTATATAATTCCTTTTTAATTTTTAGATCATGCAAGATCTCCTGGTTAAGCCAAGGCAGTCTTTTGCCATAGTTTCTATCTTCCCTACCCAGAATAGCTTGCTTTTGGGCCCTTAATAATATCCCTTTGAAAAACTGCCAACTCTTTTCAGTTGTTTTTCCTCTTAGTCTTGCTTCCCATGGGACCTTACCTAGCAGCTCTGAGTTACTCTTACTTCTAATATATTTAGAGATAGTCTTCTACCTTTTGTCTGTAGCTATTTTGAGCTCATTTTGTGCCTTTGCCTTTCTAATCTTCCCTGTATTGTTCGCTTATATTCACCATTTGTAATTTGTTGTAGTTTCTACTTTTTATATAATTCCTTTTTAATTTTTAGATCATGCAAGATCTCCTGGTTAAGCCAAGGCAGTCTTTTGCCATACTTTCTATCTGTGCCCCGCTGTGTTAGTTTTCCAACATATGTCTGGATGGCTGACATCCCCCATCACCACGAAATCCTGCGCTTGGGATGATTTTGTTAGTTGTTTAAAAAAAAGCCTCTTCCACTTCTTCTACCTAGGTAGGTGATCTATAGTAGACCCCTAGCATGACATCACCCTTGTTTTTTTACCCCTTTTAACCTAACTCAGAGACTCTCAACACTTGTGTCTCCTATCTCCATCTCCACCTCAGTCCAAATGTATACATTTTTCATACATAAGGCAACACCACCTCCCTGTTAACCTCACCTATCCTTCCTAAGCTATACCTTTTACACTAATATCTAATCATGTGTATTATCCCACCAAGTCTCTGTGATACCAACTATGTCATAATTGTGTTTGTTTATGAGCACTTCAAGTTTTTACTGCTTATTACACATACTACTTGCATTTGTATATAGGCATCTAAGATACTGATTTGATTTTGCCTCCCAGTTCAGCCTTGTCCCTCCTTTTTCTCTGGTATTATAGCCCTT